CTCTCTCTCTCTCTCTCTCTCTCTCTCTCTCTCTCTCTCTCTCTCTCTCTCTCTCTCTCTCTTTCTATTCTAGCTATATACGCTATTATTCGGATGGTAAATAATAAACTCAAGGTTACGCGTTGAAGAATTCGTGTTATCGCAAACTTTGAAAGAAGGAAACGGAAGGTTCAACGGAAATACCGTTCGATCGCTCGAGAACGAAAATAAGCAAGATACGCGTTCAACGGAAAAAACAGCCGGGAAAATATTATTTTCCAACTATTTCTCGATCGAAAAGAAAAAAAAAAAGAAAAAAAGAAAAGAAAAAAAAAGAAAGAAATCATTCGATCGTGTTTTTTTTTTTCAAGCGACGAAAAGCTCACTACGAAGCACACTATTTATCCAGTTAATTTGTACATTTAAACAGTCTCTACGAGAGAACACGTATCGACCTACGTTTCTAGTGCCTAAAATTAGCGAACCCTTATCAGAATTCTTCTATATAACGATATATCAGTAAGTAATTCAAATGGCATGTCCAGTCTTAAAATTGCTCTTTCACGAGCGCTTCTATATCGTCTTTTTTTTTTTCCTTCTTTTTTCTTTTGTTTTCTTTTTTTTCCTTTTTTTCCTTTTTTTTTCTTCGGATGTGTGTGTGTGTGTGTGTGTTACAAAGTCGGCAAACTGTAACTTCGAAATACAAATTGGCCTACAAAGGATCGATCGAAAACACAGAGGCAGAATCGTAGATGCGGTACCTTCGTCAGATATCTCGAATTTTAAATGTGGTCGATCATCGTATATCGTATCTCGACAAATTTCCGACAGATTTCTGTGCACCGATCTACACTTGTCCATGGTCCGCAAGTGAAATTCGGTACGGTTAAAAGCTAAAAAAAGGAGCCTACTTTATCATTTTCAAAATGTATCTTCGACTACGACGAATGTATTTGGTAGTGTTCAACGATGTTATTATCTCTTATCGAACGTTAACCTATGCTGACGCATACGTTTTTTTTTTTCCTTTTTTTTTAATTGTAACTATTACATTTGTGTTACTCATACAGCTAGACGATTCGTATCTCACGAATTTCTAACGCTACGCAAAACAAGTTTTGGTTTTTTCACATATTCTTCCAAGTAATTGTCAACGATCGATCGGATATTAATAGAAGGGACATCGATCATGCGTCATAAAGTCATCGTGGCGCCATGCAACTTTTCGCTCATTGTCTGTTCGATAACGAAGAGAAAGAAGAAGAAGAAGAAGAAGAAGAAGAAGAAGAAGAAGAAGGGTTCTCGAATAATTGAAAATTTCGTAAAATTCGTATCATCGACTCACACATCGTAAAAAAGATTTTTGTGGCAGTACAACGATCGGTCACGAAATATATATATATATTATTTTTTCTTCTTTTTTTTTTTCTTTTTTTTTTTACCAGGCAATGAGCAAACGTTGCCCTACGCTCGACAAAACTCGAAAAAAGAAATTGTTCTCTACTTTCGGGATGGCATATGCCACATGTGTTAAAATAAGGCACCACGTCCGACGCTGTTCACGCGATCGTTCGATATTTTCAGAGTGCAACAAAATCGATGATCTCGCGATACATACATACATACATTGTTTTTTTTTTTCTTTTTCTTTTTTTACTCCTCTCAATTCGCCACTCAAGAAGCCACTACAAAAGTTATTGCTATGCTCGCATAGCACTAAACGACGATAAATCGCGTAGCGCACTCCTCGATATTTATTATTGACTTTGCTTATTTGATATTCGTTTTTTCAAATGATATCATCAGCGACAAGTAATGCCGTAATTTCTTTACAACAACACTCGGAGAGAAATAGAGTAGAAAAACGTCACATATATTTTTTTTTCCTTTTTTGTAGCCGGTGAACTGTTTCTTTTTTTTTTTTTTTTTGTATCCCCGCAATGAACGCATCGCATTCCCTCTCTCTAGATGGTAGTAGTAGTATAACTTAAAGCTAAACTATGTTTCGCAGCGAAGCCACAGGTCAAACTGTCTCTTCGGTCACGCTCCTCGGTATCTGCAACACGCTGATGCTGAAACGAAACAACAAGATCGAGATGACGATGCCCCGCGTGGTTAAGCTAACGTGCTCGATTCGAAGCGGCACTTTTAACAAGCGTGATGAGTCGTTCGATGTACGCATAGATGTACGTATGTATAGATGGATGGATGGATGGATGGATGGATGGATGGATGCAGTCGAAGATGACGATCGCATGGAAGAATGAACGTGTTCGACGGAATGTTCGTTTGATCGAATTTCGCAGAATTATTCGCGATAATAATTTCGAGTTTAAGTTTATCATTTATTTCCCCTCCCCTCTCAACATTCGAATCGCAAAGTCTCTTCGAGATGATAATAAATAAATAAGATCTCTCTAATTCTTTCTCTCAAGCTCGTCGTCGTGCGATTCGAGCAACGATATAATTTAAACGCGATGCGATGATAGAACGGTAAGCAGCGAAAGTAGCAGCCCCATTCCTATATTCGCGAAGCGTTTACAAGCGTTTGATAATTACGAGAAGGATGGTTTGAACGATGATTTTTGCGCTTCCTACGAAAAAGAGTTTCTTTTCTTTTTTCTTCTTTTTTTTTTTTTTCTCTTACTCGATCGATACCAACCCCCCCCCCCCCGATGACGCGCGATGGTTGGCGTGAAATGGTTGGAGAATGAAAGGAAAATTTTTTTTTCTTTTTTTTTTTTTTTTTTACGTACCACGAGGAACGCCTGGTGTGTGAATCATTTTTGCAAATGTTCAATTTTCTTTTCCTTTTTTTTCTTTTTTTTTCTTTTTTGCGATAGGAAAGCAGAATAAAAGAGACGAAGGAAGGAAGGAAGAAAAGAATGCACGCGATCGTTGCAATCTTACAAAGTGATAGCCTAGCCCTACCAACAAGCTTGTTACTTGGCGACGCCGGCTATCCTCGCGTCGTCTTGCATCTCGACGACGATGGTGTCGGGATCAGGTACCCTGTTTGCGGAAATGCATCCGTTCGCGATCGTTGTTGGCAAAACGGTTTCCGACTGAAACGGAAATCACATTTAACGATATTAACACCTCTGTTTCCCTTCCCACCACCACGTGAGTAAGCGTCGTCTGTCGCTTCGTTTTTCGTATCGATCGATCATACTTGATAGGCTGCCGCGTCCAGCGCCATCAATTCCTTTTTCGACAACTGCTCGACCACTGCGGCGGCGTAGCAATCGCCCAGCATGTTGTTCGTGGTTCGAATGCGATCCCTGAACCGCGTGAAACAGGAGAGAGAGAGAGACAGAGAGAAAGAAAAAAAAAAAAAAAGAAAATATCGGATGAGCGATCGAATTTTATTTAGAGGAAAGGCGATAACGGGACTTACGTTACTTACACGAACCAATCGATGGTGAATAAAAGGGAGACGTTGTAAACGGGGGCGTTGATGGCGCTCAACACGACCAGAAGGAGGACCAAGGCGGCGCTTGGGACCGACGCCGATGACACGGACGCAGCGGTGGAGGTTAAACTTGAAACGAGAAACAGAGAAAAGAAAATTTCGATCGATCGGTTGTAGAATAGAAATAGATGACGATATTGCGTCGATAAAAGAGGAAGTGAAGATCGAGAAGGAGAGGAGAAAGAGGAGGAAGAAGGGAAGAAAAGATCTTCTTGTTTTTTTTTTTTCTTTTTTTTACTCACATAACCGTTATGATTTCACCGAAGCCCAAAGCGATCCCGTGCATCTGGGCGATGAATATGCTTGCCACGGCCACGAACAACGCCGTCCCGTCCATGTTAATATTGCAACCGATCGGCAGAACGAATCTGGTCACTCTAGGATCGACTCGAAGTTTGTCCGTCATCAGGCGGAAAGTGACGGGAAGTGCGGCAGCCCTGTACAAAACTGCATTAGGGAAAATCGAGGAAAACGCGGTCGAGTCGAGAGTAGATTATAGTAGAAAAGATTATTTCTGCGCGCTGCGTAGCCGATGTCCATGGAGGGTAGTGGGGCGGTAGGGGGCGGGGGCGGCGGCGGCGGCGGGGCGGGGGGGGGGAGGTCATTCTGGCATGTAGTATAATATAATATAATAATAACAGCGGTGATGGTTATTTTAATTCGAAAGCATAAAATTTTTCTCTGCATACGTACGTACGTACGTGCGGAAGGAACGTACGTAGGTACGTGGATCGAGACGTGGTGAATGAGATGGATGAAGCGAGCGAAATCGAACGGAATCGTACGAACGGGGAGCATTTTTCGAAAAGCGCGCGCTGTAAGGTTCGATTGATAGAGCGTTCGGACGGTGGCGTGGACGGACGCAACACAATTGGTTGGTGCATGGACAGGTTTTTTTTTTTTTCTTTTTTTTCTTTTGTTTTCTTTTCTTTTCTATTCTAAGCTAAGAGAGACTAACGACCAGAATGACCGCGATGACGATACGAACTGAAAATCAACCAGGGTTAATCTCAGGGTGTCGACGGAAGACGGCCACTCGTCCATCGCATCTCTCGAAGGGAGAAAAATCATTTTAAAATCCTGCAACAGACAATCGCATGTACCTTCATGTCGCGGCCATCGATTACTTACCAAGGCCACCCTCGGTCTCTGAACCACCTGCAAAAGGCCGCGTGCAGCGCGTGTTCTAATACATCATCATGATATTCATACAGTCTCTGTTCAGATACGCAAAGAGCTGTATCTCTCAGTCACGCAGTGTACGCACAGTTGTGTACGCTCTCCTCTGGAAAAAGTTAATCCACATAGAAAATAAGTTGAATTAGATAGATTGGCGTTGCAAGGGGCGTTTAACGATCTCGAGCGCCTCGATGATGGGACGGAAAAGGTTCGGAATAGAGAAGAACGAGAAGAACGAGAAGAACGAGCTGCGACGAGTTTGCAAACGCGAGTTCAAACGCGAGAAACGAGCTCACGCGGATCCCTTCTCTGTCCCACGATGCATCGGACGGGAGACGGGAACGAGAACGGGAAGAGCGGAGGAAGATGGAAGAAAAGGGAGGAAAGGAAAGGGGGATGGGGTCGCTTTTGATTCTTCTTCGGATGGATAAACTGAAAAAATGATCGTTGCTTCGCGTGATCCGCGGTAATGGTAGAAACGAACAAAAATATTATATATATCGTACGATCGTGGTTCGGGTGTTCTGGCCAGTGGTTTCTGGACGGCGCCGGCAAACCTGGAAGAGCGGGCTCGACACGAGCAATCAATATTTTTTTCAGCTTTCCTCTCTCTCTCTCTCCTC